GTACACCACGACGCCTAATTCAAATGTCTGCTCCCTCCTTTTCCCCGCACCCTCCAGGGAGTCGTGGAGTGGAGAGCACGGGGAAGTAGAAGTCTGCTCGATTCCTACTTCCCCATACCCTCCACTCCGCGCTGGTGTTCACTCTATCGATATCCGTAGTTTCCTAGTAGCTCTTGAACGCTGCCGCAAAGTATGCAGTCTAATCAAACACTCGTATATTAAGAATATAGGAACTGAAGCAAACACGTTCTCGTTGATCTACAGAAAAACAACCCTCGCCCCCAGATGCTAACATTAGATAGACGAAACCATTCACCTTTCTCAAAGCTGAGATACTCATAAAATGCTTCCAGACTGTCGTCGGTTTCAGCGAGCTTCAGTTCGAATTTTGAGAACTCCTTCATTTCATTAACAGTGGCCTCATGAATTTGACGAATTTCGTCGTCTACCTGTTCGCCTGGAAAACTCGACTTGCGAATGCGATTAACTGGTTTTAATCTATTAGAAACTCTTAGAATCTGAAAGGCAGACAGTACATCGCTAATCTTTACGAAATAAGACCTGCAAACTCTAGGTAACTGTTCCAGGTGTCAGCGAGGTCGACGCTGGGTACACGCAGGGCTCGTTTATACAAAGATGCGACGGTTTTCCGCTGCTCCTCGTTGTTTTCATCACCTGAAAATTAAGGACGATAATAAAATTTCCTTCTCTCAAGCCTACCCCAACATTAGCCAAGACAGCGTATAAATGGGCCTTAAGACTAAAAACTCAAAAAAAAACATGAAAAGGGGAGCAAAACTGAGGGGTAGTTTTCAAAAAAGAAACTACAGCCAACCTTCGTAAGAATTCAGTAACGATGTCGGAGGATTCTACTCTTCTCTTTCAAGGAAAAAAATTGCGATTAACTGCTATGAGTGGTTCGGTCGCTGTATGGCTTTTCAGCACAGAGAAAAACAAAATCGAAACGTCCTGGACAGAAATCCTCCCAACAGCCAGCCTCATACTGTGAGTTTTAGAACTTGCTAGCAAATCGACACTTTGCCACCACTGGGCTACCCAGCTCACTAATTGTTTCTTGCAATCTTCCAATAATGAATGCCATCCATGACTAGCAAATAAGATTACTGCCTTGCGAAGTGGACAAAGTTTGATGTCTCAATTTTGGAAAGGTGTTCAGAAAAGAAAGCAGAACGAACTGCGAGCTAACAAAAGTCAACACGCTACATTTCCCAGGATGAGCGAGGAAATGTAGTGAAGAAAACCTCGTGCAGAGTGATATCTTCCTTGTAGAATTGAGTACTGGCCAGAAAACATAATCTTTTTATGGCAGTTCTGCTGCGGTTTGTCTCTACTAAAGATAGTGGGTACCGGGTGAAATTCAAGAAGTTGCCATAACCATTCAGTTACCCTACACACCCAAGGCTGCGCTTTTGGTGGCACATTGCCATTTAGGACAACTGTTACCATGTCTCTGTCGAACATAAGGCCGCGTTCATAGCTTGCGACCATGAAGAAATGCAGAAATGCAGAAATGAAGAAATGCGGAATCTGCGGAAATGACGAAAAGCATTGTATACATATCGATTTGAAGAAATGCGGAAACTGCAGAAGTGCGGAAAGTGCAGAAATGACGAAAAGCATTACATACGTTATCCGATTTGAAGAAATGCAGAAATGCCGAAAATGCAGAGTGCGGAATCTGCAGCAATGAAGAAATGCAGAAATGCGGAAACTGCAGAGATGACGAAAAGCAAACCGATACGTATCGAATTCCTGCACTTTCGGGCTAATTTCGTATACGATTCCGCACTTCTTCACTTTCGGCATTTCTGCATTTCTTCAAATCGATACGTATCTATTGCTTTTCGTCATTTCTGCAGATTCCGCACTTCTGCAGTTTCCGCATTTCTGCATTTCTTCACGGTCGCAAGCTATGAACGCGGCCTAAGACAGTCTATCAATCAACACAATCTTCTACAGTTCTTAAATCAAATCTCGAAAACTAGAAAAACCCATTGTGATTTGACTGGGATCATTGCACGGGAACAAAGTTTTAAAATCGAAACAAAAATATTGATTCTACCAGTGCTTCCACTTCCATTACCTGCGAGCATAGCTTCTTCAAAACAAAGGTACGATTGCCAGATCATCGCACCTACATCAATCCGAAGTCCAACTGCAGATAGCGCAGCTTCAAACTTCTAAAATTGGAAAAAGCTGCTAACATGATTACTTGCTTGTGATATAGAATTGCCTGCTTAAAACATAGAACTAGAGATGAAGTATAACCTCCGAATTTCCAGAGGTACAGATGAACATATAAAGAAAAAGTGATAAGAAGACAATTACCTCTCTTGCAAACTTGGGTTCAACACCACAGGCCCACTGAACAAGTTCTATCCACACATCGAGTGAATTGCAATCGAAAACAGCTTTCTCGAACAATTCCTCAATGCGTTTCTGGTCACTTCCAGAAGAGCGTTCATCCCTTCAAATGAAAGCATGATAGAACATGTACTTCATAATTACCCTGCAGACACCATTTTCACTTTAAATTCACCCCTTTTAGACAAAATCGCTACACTTTCAAGACCAAGCGTTAACCAACCAATTGCGCAAGGGACAACTGCGAGAAAATGACGTAAGATGATGATTATGCACCCTTTCCGAAAAACATTGCCACATTCGAATTTTCGCCAAGTTTTTTCAACTTTGTTGATTTAAAACCCACTTTTCACAGAACGGAGGTCATCATAGGCGGCATTTACGCATTAACCTACAGAGCTCCGCCCCTCGAACCACGCCCATTATGCGTTTTTTGCAAAACTTTATTTTTTTACTTCAGAATTTACACAGTTCCTGACTCCCAGGAGGTTTGAGAATGGCAGAAATCGGCAGATTAGGTTCTCAGCTGGCATGTGAGGGTCTCGTTGGTCACTCGGAACAAATTTTCCTGCTTTTCCGAGTGAAGCAAGACCACAACATGCCAAATGGGGCTTTGGAGCAAAGTCCGCCATGCGTCGATGTACAGATTTTCCGTCAGTTTGTATGGGAGAAACAGCAAAAGTCAAAAAGTCGTAGAAGCAGAAATTATAAAACAAAATTTGAAAATTTGTGACCACGCTGGAAAGCTGGCGCGGCCGTTGGAGGTGGACTTGCGGCGAAGTCTAGCGTGATCTGGTTGATTGGCTGCCTGGTCTCAAAAGTGTGGTGAATTCGGTTCAAAAGCTGGTGGAGTTAGAGTGAAAGTGGTATAAAATATGGAAATTGAAAGGTAACGTACTGTATCCAGTCTATCCAGTTCGTGCTCGATAAAGGATGTTGCGCAGCTATTTTCTCTCTCGCCTCAGCTAACTCGTCGAAGTCACCATTTTTACGCAATAAGGATAGAAGTTCGTTATTGAGCTTGGAGTCGTAGCTATTTTGTGCAAGCTAGAACAAAGAATACTCATTTGAGATATTACAAAAATATCAAACTATCAAACATCTCTCAACTGTTTCTACTCCACAAAAACATGCTTACACTTTTCTATAGGTTCCAACTTCTCCCATTTTGAAAACTCAGCAGGCCTTTGGCGAGAACGGATCGAAACGCTAGCCCGTTTATGTTTCCACCTATTAAAAAGCCGCCCACATAACAAGCTCAAGTATAGAATGGGCAGAAGTACACAAAGAAAAAATGTCCGCCTTTACGTGTTATTCGCGCGAATATGACACCCGCTTTCAACACAGGCGATGACTTAGGGCACTCCAACTCTGTCAAAAATAACAGGCATATAATAATTTTGCAGCGCCGCCAGCTAGGGAAGAGGTATGAAAACCAAAAATCGAAAGATTTCACCCCTTCAATTTCTTCTGAAGCCAGGTACAACCACTTCTTTTGCGCTCAAATACGACTCCCGATGGGATCCCAACAATCTGGTGAGAAAAGTCGTTATGCCAAGTTGGCGCTACCAATCCAGCACTGTGAGGCGCCGATGTCAGAAATGAATGCTACATTTGCTGTGAAGGTTATGCCAAATCATCCCGATATGCAAGACTCTATCTTTTTTGGCAATATGTCAATATTGTGAACACTGCACCGATGGAACCTCCGTGGTCACAGTCGCAGGAAAAAAAGTTGATATTTCGGGGTTGTAATAGTCAAGCAATGCCATATTCCCACCACAGCCAATTACAAATCTATTACAAGCCACGATTATTCTTTCGAACACAGTTGCATGTGAGACTTCATCAGACTGGAACAGATTTACTCGGTTTTCTGCTCAAAAGCAACCTGCTATAAACGGAATGAGCTTCACAAAGCTGCACAAACTGAGCAGTAGTAGAGACAATTTCACTCAAATAAAAGCGTAAGCCTCCCTTAATTTTCATAATATTTTAATTCTTATTTTGGTCCTGGAATAAATGTCTAATAAAACATCACAAATCTTCTTTGATCCCATAAGAAAGACTAGAAATTGAAAATTACTGGAAGGAAATGGAACTACCTGCTCCTTCACACTTGCAATTTGGAGCATCTAAATCTTCCGGAACCTCATCCATTTCGATATCTCCAACCTCATTGTCTTCAACATCGTCATCTGCCATTTCCTTTATACTCTAGAACGGAACTAAACACTACGCATGTCGAAGAGGAAAAGGAAGAGTTAGAATTGCTTAAATGGAGATATTCGATAGCAACGACAACAACAACAACAGCAACAACAGAAAATTGATAACGATATTTATTTCCAAGTCTACTGTACAGTCATGACGGTCGAACAAATTCAACACATTTTGAGGGATCAGTGGGGAAATATTCTTGCATCCTGGTCATTAACCTCTTAAACGATTGAATGTACTTCCTCTGCGTTTCGTCGTTTAGCACATGAGCAATGTTTGATACATAAGCTTTCGCTGAACCTGGACGCTGATGGATACCTAGAAAATGAAAAATCATTCGCTCAAAAAAATCGTTTGAAGTTCCTTACTAAGACCTTATGTGATCTTAATGCATTTGGGAAAATTTGAGAAGATTAAGCTAGAAGAAGAAACTGAAGGTCTGGCAGATATCGGGAAAGTCGGGAGTAAACATTCCCCATACCTTCGGATTTCTAAAGCCTCTTTGAGACTAACCTGATCGTGTAACTCCCACGGGCCACGGTGCATTTCCAATTGCCATAGTCATATATGCATTGTTTGCTAGGATGTAGTTTCTGTCAATAATCAGTAACCTAAAAAAGACAAATTTCAAAAAGGATTTCATGGCTTCAGGAGGGAAAAGGCGTACTGGAGCGCCGCTCATTGCGCGCACGGTCGAGATCACCTCTCTGCTCGGGCCTCACGAGGACCTAAGAAATATTGCACCTCTTCACAGCCGGGAAAGCGATACAAAACTTGCTTGGAAGAAGAAAACTGTACTTATACAATGGGCCGGGTCACTGCATCGGTCAGATCGCCGTTAAGATGCTCCGACCTTACACGGAACCATAAGCGCAGTGCCTCCAAAAGGAGAGTCAACGCCGGAAGCCCCGTTCTTCTGTTATAGCTTGATATAACGCAAAATTTTGCACGCTGTAAGAGTAACGTACCTGCAAATATTGGTCAAGTGGTGGCGAATATCATTATTGCATGAATGGTTTTCCAACGAATTCAATAAAGGCCTCAAATTCATCACTGTCTGCTTGTGAATACTTGCCTGTAGTTTACCTGAAATTTGATCAGAACACATAAAATTACTCAAAAAGGATGATGATGGGTTTGCTGGGCTCAATACTCAGTAAAAAAAAATGCATCTTGCAACTTAAATGGACATTCGTAAAAGAATATCAGAAGTGGGAATGACTGAGAGGAATTAGTTAAAAGACACGGAAAGAAATGTAACGGCGACGAACCTGCTGGACTTTTCTTTTCTTCGTCATCCCTTCGATTCAGTTCCATACCCCATCGTGTTATCAAATACTTGAAGAATGATAAAATTATATCACAATCTCGATGTGGATCATTCCCTGGAAAATGACATGTGATCAACTTTACAACAACACGATCAGTAATATAAACACGGACCACAGCTGAAGATGACGAGAAATAAAAAAACGCTAATAAAAAGGCACCATTCGGGACATTTTGCAAGAAAAGCAGCCGCCTCTGGCTCACCAATGATTTCCTCGCATCTTTCATTGCTATCACCATCGAACAGCGAGAAAAAAAAACGAAAAACACTAGGTCAAACTGATTTCGTGATAAGGAGGAACCATGCAATTTGTTGGGTGGGGTCAGAACAGCCAGTTATGAGGGCGCAATGCCTTCGTTACTTACTGAAGCCGTCAAAGTGGGACAATTTCACAGAGTGCGGAGCAGATTACTTGTTACGATTACTTACTCAGATTACTTATTACGCTACGTGTTGCTTGAGTGCAGGATTGCCCGTAATTGAGGCCTAGAAAGCACGAAGCTCAAAGGGCTTTGTTCATACTTTGCGGCAGCATCCACCAGTATCCACCAGCGTTCAGGAGTGGAGAGTATGGGGAAGTAGGAGGGTAGCAGACTGCTGATAGAATATGAGGAAGTAGGATGCAGCAGGCAGCTGGATTCGGGTCATGAAATTGCGGAGTGTGC